AATTCACTTCTGTTTTTGCATAGCCAGTCGTATGTCCGTCAGCTCCTTTATCCAATCCGCTGACAAAGGCCGCTTTTTCGCACGACGAAACCATCGAAGAGAGCTCGCCTCTTAACTCTACGTTTTGTCAAAATGTGTCCAGTTGCGCAGTTTACAACTTCATTAAGTTGATCCTGTCGACTGTTTAGTCACTGCTGCCTTTTTATTGGCCAGCTCAAGGTCGTGCTTACTTCTGCCTTAGTACAGGGGACTCTTAAATGTAATAACTATTCGTTGTTTGTGATAGGCCAGCTCGCTTGTGACCTTGACCTGGCCAATCTCTGGTTGCTCTAGGATGGCGCCACGTTTGAATTTCTTTTTGTTACTGCATTGCTGTTAAACTGCACAATGTGCGTTACCTCGAATCACTCGTGATTTGCCGTCTCTCCGACAAACCAATGAGAACGCGCGAAGCGTTGTTGTCACATCCAATCACTCACGACTCCTAATTGCGTGTTTAGTCGGGTCAAGTGAAGAGCTGGGACCGCATAGTAGCCATCAATGGCGAAGCCGTCGACGACTACGACACAGCGCTGGCCAAACTGACGTTGTGTCGGCCCAGGGCGCAGCTGCGACTGGCACGTCTGAAGTCCCCGGCCGGCGTGCTGGGCACCATTTCCGAGGGCGTTCGACGTCCCACACTTCCACGCGGTTTCTCCCCCCACACCAGGCCAACCCCGATCCTCCGAGGTGTCGAGACCACCGTGGAAATGCTTCGAAGTCCGGGCGAAGAGCTCGGCTTTTCAATTGTCGGAGGAGCTGACACACTAATGGTCAGTGCCCCTCTCTCTCCCCATTGGCTAACGCTACCTCAATGCATTTGTAATCTCCTTTATGCAATAATTTATTTCAGGGTGGCGTTTTCATCCACCAAGTGCATAACGGAAGCTTTGTTTGGAGGGACGGTCGTTTGAAGCCCGGAGACCAGATTCTCGCTGTCGGAGATCTCGATCTGCGTCAGTCGAACCACGCGGCCGCCACCAAGGTGGGCGATTCATTCTTATACCAGTGCTACTTACAATTTGGCAGTAGCCATAAAATTACAATTTCTATTATAAACAACTTGCTCTCTAGGCCCTTCGTGAAACCCAAGAGCGCGTTCTGATTACAATTCTTCGCGGGGCGCCGTCTTTAGAGGACACCGCGTCGACCCTGATCTCCCTTTCCGCCGGCGATATGCTCCAGACCTTCAACGTCACTCTCCAAAAGCAGCCGGGACAGGCCTTCGGCTTGGTTCTCGACGACATTCCCGGTGGCGTGTACACCGGCGGCGTGGTAATCGTTGATGTTGTAAGTGCTCCTCGTGCTTGCTGGCCACCAGCCAACTCTTCGACCAATCACAGGGCTTTTCTTCTCACAGGCTGATGGCAGTCCGGCCTCAAGGTCGTCGGTGTTAGCTTCAGGCGATGTGATTCTTGAGGTTGATGGAATTGATGTTCACAAGGCCTCTTTCCAGGATGTAACCGCTTTGCTTAAGGTATGTTTGACTCCCACCTCTACCTCGCTCTATTCTGATTGGCTACTGCAGTTCCTCTCAAGGTCGTTCTTTGAGAAACCCAGCATTGCCATGTTCAATCCATTTTATTGCTTTTTTTGGTGGTTTTAGCAACGCTCGACTCACGTTATGCTAAAAACTGGTCGTCCCAAGCCCCCGTCCGGTCAAGCAAGTAAATTCTTCTCTCTTTACCTCGTATTTCAATATTTTGCATATCTTCTGTTTTTCCATCCATCGTCACGCACAAATAGTATGTTTTAAATGTCAGTTTGGTTGTGAACCAGTCGTAACAGGGTAGCTTACAGTTATGCGATAAGGCGTCGATATTTATCAGGGTGTGTTGGTACTGCTTCCAGATTAAGCCTACTTATGTTTTGTAAGTAGTAGCAAACTGCCATATTTCCATCTCACCTCGTCTCTTCTTCATCTCCACATTTTCGTCGATATTGATCAGGGTGTGTTGGTGCTACTTCCAGATTCTGGATTCATATATTTAGTCTACTTATGTTTTGTAAGTAGTTGCATTTGTGGTGAATTAGAATGTATTTCGATGTCGACGCGAATTGCCATACTGTATCTTATTTCCATCTCACCCCGCCCTTTCTTCACCTTCACCATTCGTCCAGACATTCCCAAATAGCGTTTTGCCGTTAACTGAAACATTACATGCATCGCTCTCCCTGTGCTTGTGTGTCCGCCCCCTTATGCTCCTCCCCCCCCCCGACTCCCCCTCTACACCCACATCTTTCCGCCCCCCCTCCCCACCACCACTCGCCTCATCCCCCTCCAACGTCGAATCGACAGTCCTAGGTGTTCTCTCGCGTAAGTTGCGTGTGTCTGCGTACGCGGACTAAGAGCATGTGGTTGTGTTGGCCATCGTGGAATGGGCCTTCCTGGATTTCCACTCAACCGCCCTCCTAGCATGGCATGACCATCATCATCATCGTCGTCGTAATCATTATCAACACGGTCACACCTGGGTGTAATACGTCTCCCCGTTGTAACACCCTTATCGTCGTTTGTGTTGTTCCAACACCATTCCACAGCTTGCCGTGTACACTGAGAATACCGCCTTGTTTATTGACAAACTGCCAGAATTCATTTAAACAAGTCGCGTTTAGCAATCCGTCGACCTTCAACCGTGCCTGTGCATGTGTTCAGTTTACGGCTGGAGCATTGCGTGTGTGTTCGGTGCTTCGCCCTCACGCCGTGTAAGTCGCCTCAGTGCGTTTTTGCTGTTACACGCTCAGTGCCTCGACTGCGACTCTTCACGGTCCTCCTGACGCGCCCGCCACTCCAGGGCATCGGCGGCGCCTCGACCTCCGCACCCTCCTTCCGCGCCCTCGTCGTCGACGCCCACGTCCCCGGCGTCTTCGGTCTCATCTTGCGCGCAGCCACCGACGGCGAACTGAGCTGCGCGCCTGGCAACCTCGTCGTCGACTCCATCGTGCCCGACTCGCCCGCCGCCCGGTCTGGCATGCTTCAGGTAAGTACACGTCGCGCTCTAATCCCAACCAGCCAACCACACGTCGCACTCTACTCCCAACCAGCCAACCACACGTCGCACTCTACTCCCAATCAACCAATCACACGTCGCGCTCTAATCCCAGCTAGCTAATCACTCGTCGCTCTAGTCCCAACCAGCCAATGACATCTCTCTAATCCCAACCAGCTAATCACACGCCGCTCTAATCCCAACCAGCCAATCACACGTCTCTCTAGCCCCAACCAGCCAATCATATGTCGCTCTAATCCCAACCAACCAATCACGCGTCAGCTCTCGAAAAACCGACCCAATTCAAGTTTAAATGTCACAATAAATGCTAATTCAATTCTTTGTGTGTTCGTTTTGACCAGTGCTTCACGCCAACACTTTAAATAACTCAAGAGCCCTTCATTTTAGGGTTTTCTTTTTCAAATGGACGTTTCCGTGACATTTTTAGTGATGCTGCTGTTCACTGTATCCACCCAATCCACATTCCCGTGTCTCTGCTGATATTACAGTAGTGTCTTTTTTATTCAACCATATCTGGCCATTGCCAGACGCTGACGCTCGCGAGCGACTGTACAGGTGTAAACTGGTATCGGTCACTTCTGCCGGTACTGTAACCTCGCGTGATGGTGATTGGTTGATTTTGTCCACTCAGATTGGCGATCGCCTGCTGGGCATTGATCGTGAGCCAGTGGGTTGGCTGACGGTGGCTGACGTGGAGCGCTTCGCTCGGCCCTACGACTCGCTCACCTTCGAATTCGGTCGTCTCCCACCGCTGCACTCGCGAACCTCCACGTACTCCTCGCCCTCCGACCACCTCGTCTTCGACGCCTACGATTTCGGACTGGGCACCTTGCGCGAAGGGGAGGTAGTCCGCGCCAGTTCCCCCATCTCCGTCAATCCCGTCCGCTACCACCCCGAACCAGCAGCGGGCGCCAATCAGCGCGCCGCTGGAGACCCGATTCGGCCGTCCGGTCGCAACGACTCCACGTCCGTCACCGCCACAACCTACAACTACGAAGTGGACGAGGAGGAGGAGGAAGACAAGGAGGTGGAGGACATGGGCAACGGCGTCAACATTCGACAGGTTCGGTGGCGCGCATTCACCCTATTTCCTCTGTGTCCATCACATCTCCAGCAAAATGACTCCCTCCCTCCCCGTCTCTGTAGATCCAACTGCCGTTTGTGCCGCAGTCTTCCTCGAACGACGTCAGGCCTCATCCACGCCTGGGGCTCTCCATCTCCGCGGGGAAGGGCTCTTCCAGCGGCCAGTGGGTCGTCGGCGTCACCCCCAACTCGCCAGCTGCCCAATCTGGTCTGCGGGTCGGCGACTGCATTCTCGGCCTCGACGACCGCCTCCTCATCGCCTGTGGAGGCCATGACTCCGCGAAGGTCCTCCAAGCCATCGAAACCGCGTGGGCGTCGCGTCTGCCGACCACCGACGCCCAGCAGGTGCGTTTCCGCGTTTTGCGTCTGTGTCTGGCGCCGTCCCCGAAATGCACGTTTTTTTGTAAATTACCTCGCATTCCAGGTGACTCTGACGGTTCTCAGACAGGCTCCCGTCTCGTTGCCGACAGCCGCTGAAAAGAAGAGTCCCTTCCCGCAGTTTGATGTTCCGACGCGTCGCTCTGACGCCCTCCTGCCTCCACAATACTTCAGGGCGAACAGACGCTACCCTAAAGGTGTGTGAATAAACTCGATTGAATTTTTTTGTTTATTGACTGCCTACTTATATTCTTAAAAGTAGCTAATTTTGTTCAAATGCGTTGCGTGTGTGTGTGTACGTTTAGATGTCGGTGACAATTTGGACGTGCATCTGCAGGCCGCCCCGCCAGGACTCCTGACACCGTTGATGGTTGGAGTTACTGCTGGCGCCGTGGGTGGTGCGCTTTACCGAGGCGCCGTGGACGATCCCGTCGGCCAGACGTACTTCCACCCTCCGGGTGAGTCAGGTGACCACGTCGCTGTCGCCACGAACGGCTTCTCACTGGATGCCGGGGACAGTCACGCAACCAACTACGATGACATCGTTGAACGCGAGGCGCTGTTTGAGGATCATGATGCCGACGGCGATTTATTCCACAAGGGCGATGGGGACTATGACAATGGTAAGTAGCTCTAGTCGTTGCCAGCAGAATGCAAAACCGACCAACTATCTCGTACTACTAATGTTTTATAAGTAGTTGTGTAGTACTGTGGAAGTAGACTGGTGCAACCGACAAAGCTTCATTGACCAATCACAAGCCAGAACCACGCGTCAGTCTCCCATTCATTATATACCGCCTCTCATACATATCTGTCTCTTATTGGCTGCATATCTTCCTCGCGTGCCATGGGAACACAAGGAGACACGGGATTGGCTGAGGCGGGTGTGGTCCAAGATGTCTGCGCCCTTATATGTCGCCACACCACTGTACTTCCCTTAAACTAAGTGCTTTGTTTTTCATCCCCAGGCAACGAAAATTTTGATCAGGGCAACTCGATGGAATCGCCGGAGCCGCTTGATTACAGGGGAGATGGCGCAGAGGACACTTACTAGCCAATCACGAGTGCTCCTTCTTCCTAATCCCCATCCCGTCGCTGCGTCCGTGTGATTAGGCCAGTGTCGCGGGCAACCTTTTGATTTCAATGTAATTTTGTCTAGAAATGTCACCGTCGCGTATTTTTACTTCCACCTGGCCCCTCCCACTCTCCCCTCCACCCTTACTGTACCATAGATTCTTCTTTCAATCACTGTCTGGTTTAATTGGCAAACTGTTAATTTGGCTGGAGTAACTCAAATGCTCACACAAAATGCATCTTGTGGATTTCGTTTTTTTGTACGAATCTATTGATTTATTGATTCAAACGCATTTTGTCAAGTGTTGCTTATTAATGTGGAGGGTTAGTTGGGGTGCAATAGAAGGCAAGTGTTGATGCACTTTGTGTGTCAGCCCACAAACACTCAGTTGATTTGTGGCTCAATCGGAGGTGGTGAAATAGGCACTTTCTGGGGAGTGTAACAAGACCCACACCTTGTATCCACGCTTTCGCACCTTTAAGTGCCACTCCTGGGAACGCGTCGCACGTGGCGGTCTTTGAATGCATTTGAGCGACGTCATAATTTGGTCGTTTGCGGTTTAATTGATTGGTTTGATTCAAGGTCAAGTAAGCACCACGTGTAGGCCTGGTGGAGCTTAGCGTGATGCATGGTTCGGTGTTTTAAACGACGACAACCACACAGCAGGGAATCGATTGTCGAGTGAATCCGCAAATTATCGCCTCGCCATTTGTGCCAGATTGACGACGCGTCGAAGCACCGATCGATAGTTGACGGCGCCTTGCTGTGATTGGTCATCGCCCCACAGACAGACGCATGATTTAAGCAGAGAACTGATGATGCGTCCATTTGCTATACAAAGAAAAGCTAATTCGCATTAATTTTCACGAAAATTCAACAGATTGGAGAAATCTGCTGCTGTCTTTTATTCGGCTCTTGTACGGTTAATGTAAAACTGGTTATTTTGGCCTAGTTTCTCAGTTTTCGTCATACCGGTAGGTCAGATGCATTTCGTAAATTTCCGTTAGTGACCGCTGACTCATTAAGTTTAGAATGAGTCAATCTAACTACAGCGGAATCTTCCATTTAATGGAATTAATGCCTTACGGACGTATTTTGATTCTACCAATTATTCTTAGTTCTTGTATTGCCTCGAAATCTACGTTAGTTAAAGGCTTTTTCAAAAAACCTGTAACAGCCACATCTTTTGGGATAATAATAAATAGAACTTATGAAATTCCAACACAAATTCGCAGAATGCTTGCTATTGAAGCTTTTAGATAAAACCCATACTGAACTGAGATTTAAGCAGGACCCATCTATGATCATTCCGATATCGATTACCAGAAAAATTTTGATGATACCGATCGGAACTGAATTTTTCAAAAATCGAAGAAAGGTGTCGTGAAAACTATTGCAAATACAATAGTTTACAATACGAATATTTAAACATGTAGCATCATTAATGTGGTTTCTAGAATTGTCGCACACACCCCTAAATCGCTGTTGACATCCACCACTCTGCCAAATATAAAAAAAATCTCACGTGCGTACAAATCAAAGTCCACAGCTAGATAAAGACTGAGCACCCGAAATTCCCAACGCGCACAGTTAGCTAGCCTGGTTTTAGTTGAGCATCAATTTCCTGTTAACCAATAACACTCGCTGCAAGTAGACATCAATCATTGTCGTCCTTGCCTTGTGACTGACAGGTTATTAAACTTATCATGTCACTTGTTAGAATGCCATTACTGAGCATAAATATCTCACGAACAACCACAATCGTTCACATACTCAATTAAATCTTTCGTTTGATTTGATGATTTGGGCAGCACGCGTCGAAATTTGGGTTCTGCTTAAATCCCCGCCAAAAAATTCGAGGCCGAGTCAACGGTTCGACAGTGTACTGATACAAATTTCATTGGCCTAGGGTTTTTCATCATCAATGTGGGTACCCGTTTACCCTCGGATAGCTGTGGACTCAAAACAGGGATCATTCCATAGCGTCACAGGCCGTCGCTCTTGGCTGTATTAGATTTCTCGCCATTTTGATACAAATTTGCTGACTCATTTCCTCATCCCATGGTCAAATTTGATCTTAGAACAACACTCGTCTAATGCGACACAGCGCGTGCGTTCCAAATGACGTCACGTTTAGCTGGGGCGCAACGCACTTGCCACCTTATTTACATATGTGGATTTACACGTTTTCATGACCGTGCGCATTGACTAGACTGACAGCGATGGTGGTGGTGCTTTTCGGTCAATGGCTCTCACCACAACTGCTTGCATAGTAAGCCAACTCCCCACACACGCCCTCAATCGACTTAGTTGCGAAACTAACACGTCTGAGACATTTCTGCGAAATTAAGCGGATCACTTGTTTAGCAAGGCAGAGGCCCTTCACCTGTGTGTGCAGCTGTTGCTACCAGTAAAAGCAATGCGTACTTGGCAGACCAAATACAACTGACGCAGGAGACTGCGTAGGGGTTTCTTTCAAGCTCAACTTCAGCAGACAAACGAATAACACCAGACGCCTGTCCGGTTCACATCCCGGTACATGTCAATCCAAATCTCCAGTTAGGAAGAAAGCAAACATTACATTGCTTACTTTATGAAGCACAGTTTGAAGCAATCGCACTTACTCTGCGCCTAACCAAGTCTACTGGAAAGGCAAATGAAAGAATATCCGCATCGTGGGAGCCGAATTTTGCGGACGTTTCCACAGAAAGATGGCACGTGCCTGCTGGGCGCCATATCTAACACGGGAGACCTTAAAATAATCAAGTTTTATAATAACAATGTTGGATCACCCGTAGAAACGCATAAATACCTGGCGCCTGTTGTGAATAAACATCACATTTGAAGCACGACGAAACTACGATTACAGCCTGAAAACGATGGGAGGACTCCACTGTTAGATTCACCGAATTTTTGGAATCGTGGGCCTGCATCTAGTTATAACCAGTTTCGCTGGTAGTCGCTGTTTCCTGCTACCAACGCGAACCCTTGCTTACCCCGGATTATGCTGGAGGATGTTACAGGACGATCCCCTGACTAATTATCAGCAGTTTTATCGATTTGATAGATAACCCATCGGGTCGAAGCCGAAAACACTCGATTTTGGCGCAGCTCGCGTGCACGCCTAGACAAAAAACACAGGTCACGTGTGTGCACACACGGAGTCCGACACGAGTGTTTTTTTTCACCAACATGACGCACGTGCGACTTTAAGTTAATAAAAATTCCCGTTGCGGTCTTCAAATGACGAATTTGGCAATCCAACAATGGGGCCTCCAACTGCGCGGACATCACGTGACATCCTCTGAACACCGAAGCCCCAGAACAGTGGAATTAGGTTGTAATGTGGAAGATGCGGGTTGACACGATGTTGTGGGGAGCAGAGGGGGGCCAATGCATGTACACGGGGGGGAGGGGAGGGGGAGACATTACATAATGACGCAAATGCGCGTAGCACTCATTCAGAGGCCGCGACGATCCCATTAACGGGGACCTCCGTGGAACCGACTGTCGCTTCACCCTCGGTGCGGGCTTTTTTAGTTACAGGGGAAAGGGGCATCTTGTCGCCCGTGACTGCGTCGTTTCCATTGGTGGCGGGTGCAGCGGGATCTAGGTTTGAATCCGACAGCTTCTCCGTCACCTCCTCCTTCTCCGCCTCAACCGTGCGGGTGACTGCGCATTTCGCGAGACCGGTGAGGTTGTCGAAACGCACGATGATGCACGTCATATTGTCGCAGCCTGTTCCGTCTCCCATGGTGTTCGAGGCCAGGCAGGCGTCGAATAGCTTAAATAGGAGGAACACAAGTGTTTGGAAACTCCACTTACACCGAGGTCGCATTAGGACCGACAGACTAGTGTTGGTGCGACAAATCTGTGAGACGCACGCCTAGGAAGGCGACGTGAGTCAACCATAAACAAAAATGTGTCATTCACAATCCCCACGCAGTGTTCCCACGTCTAGATAGAACCAGTGCCACCCACACGTCACCTAGCGCGCCTACAGAGCAAGACCCCTTGTGCCTTCAACCTGCATTCAGCAGGAGCGTAAAATGCGTACAATTGGACAGCTGCAAATTGTCGGGTGACAGCAGACGAAAACGTGGCGTCCACTGATACGCTGGCAAAATCCAACTGGCCTTTCATTTGGAAAAGCCTCAGCTGAGGGGAATCGCGTGTCGAATGAGCAACGTTTGCGAAACACGTGGCAATGGAGCAATAAAAAACTCGTTTAAACAGTGGTATCCGCTCTGTCCCCCTTCACAGCGGGCTCGTCGGTCTTGGAGGAGCGACTGTGCATTCACCCCCGCGTGCATGCACCACCACTACCCGCATTAACGATCGTGTCCGCCATATCTAGTCCCCTACTTGGCTGCGGGCGGGGTTCGAGAATGCATGAAGGAGGGGTGCCTCTAACAGCTAATTAAGCAGGAAAATATCCGACCAGTAAGACAAACTGGTCCGGGAATTCTGCAGGAAGGATTGACTGCAGCACATCCTACATAACATCACAGCCTCCCCCTCCCCCACCACTTGCCTACCTCCTCGCAGATCTTTGCCAGGAAAGCGGGAGATGCCTTATCAACCTCCTCCTCCTTTTTCTTCTCCGCCGCCGCCGCGGCCTTCTCCCCCTCCTGCTTCTGCTTCCCTTCGTCCATCTTGTCGCCGTGTTCTCCAGCCTCGGCGGAATCCGGATGCAACCGATCGTAGACGAAATCGACGACCGCCTGGCTCGTCATGGAATTCCAGATGCCGTCGCAGGCAATGACGAGGAACTCGTCGGCGCCTGGCATCAACTCGCTGCGCGTCACGTCGGGCAGCGCGGTGATCATTTGGTCGGCCATTTTGAGATCGGTGCGGCGCTTCAAGAGTGAAATACACGAACCTGAGTTGCAGAATTAGCAGACGGACTTCAAGCCAATCAGTGACGGGAATACAAAGAACCTACCGGATCAGGTTTCTAATTGGTCAGCACACAAGCACAACAGGTGAGGGGGGAAGGGGGTTAATAGCCCGCCCACCTACCTACCTTATAGATGTGGTCACCAATCGCCCTGCTGAGATTTAGCCCATCGTTGACACGGCCGTCAGCGGTGACAGTGCCACCAGCGGCATATATGCGCGCCTTCTCCAAGTCGTCCTCGGGCTTGTGGTCCTCAGAGAGCTCCACCGCCGCGCCCGCCCGACACAGGACGGCGCGGGAGTCGCCGGCGTTCGCCACGTACAGGCACACCCGTTGCTGGCCGGTCTCCTCGTCCAGTTCGGGGAGGACCAGGGCAACGCAGGCCGTCGTGCCGCTGTCCACACCGGGCTCGCTGAAACCCACTGGGCGCGGCAGCACGCCCACCGAACACCCCTCCTCGTCGTCGTCGTCATCATCCTCATCATCGACCTCGTCTGTGTCGTCGTCATCGTCATCCTCGTTCTCGCCGTCGGAATTGTCCTCTTCGTCTCCGAATTCCTCCTCTTCGACCTCCGCATCATCAACTTCGAAATCCTTTGGAGAAAAAAAGAATCTAGTCCAGTGGTATGCTCTTCCTTCCATGCAAAGACCTGGTTGCAGGCGATTTCACAAAGTCACTCAACGCTCATTCAACAGGCAACCAAAAACGACTAAAACTTGGGGACAGAGAGTGCATGCACCCGCCTCTCCCCCTTGCGAAAACCCACCTCGTCATCGTCGTCTTCATCATCGCCCTCGACTTCATCGACAACAACAGGAATTTCGTCATCTGCCTCCTCGTTTTCCTCTTTACCGGTCTTGTCTCCGTCGGCGTCGGCAGAAGCGCCTGTCGCTTCCTCCGGCCTATCGGACTGACTCTCGAGTGGAACACTTGCTTCCGCCTTCGCATCGTCGGAGTCTACGTAATAAAAAAGCGGCTCTCGTAGTGTCGGTACAAGGTGGAGTGAGTAAACGCGTGACAGCGTCAAGAGGCGTATGAGCAATTGTGGCGCCGCCTTTGGGCTGTCTCGACAATGACACCCTGTAAGAGTGCACGTCGAGACCGTCATAGGTGGCGCTACAACACGCCAAACGCACCTTTGTCTTTGGCGTGTGGCGCACCGGTGTCGTCGTTGGTGTCGTCGACGGGCTTGCTAGACGACGAGGAGGTAGACGGGCCAGACCCACTGGCGTCGCCGGGTTTGGGTCGAAGACTCGACAGCAGCGTCTAAACACAACGCCAAATTCAACACCCAGATCAACGATTTACAAGTAGTCTCAAAATGACAGTTAGTGTGAAGAATGGGACGATTTGAGCAACACGAAGGAAGGTTTTCTCAAGAAGACAATTAGCACCAACAAAATTTATCCTTAGCACTGAATGGAGCGCTCGCCTTCAAAGGAGACGATGAGCAATTACCATAGATGAAAATAAGGTAGTAATGAAGAAAACGGAACCAATTGAGCAGTGCATAGCAATAAGGTTTGATTGAATGACTAGTAGGCATTCCGAAGTGCACACACACTCACGAAGGGAAGCTGCTAATCTTATTTATAAGGTAGGAATACCAAATTTTATGCCCACAGCAATTCAATACTGCATCAGACATTCAATGTCAATGTTACGAGAGAACTTTTTCAAGTAAAACACCAAACTATCACTTGGGACATTTTTCAGGGGCCAAACGTCCTGAGGCATTATTTGAGGAGCGCGCACTTTAACGACAAAATAGATGGCAGCTGTGGTGAGCCAACTATTTCGCACCTGAAACAATGATCATGGTAGTTTGGGGAACAAAAAAGTGCGTGCAATTTTGCCAGCGATCGATGGCCAAAGACACATATAATCCCTCATAGAGAGATGCTTTTAAGCATCAAAAATTAACAGCTTCGTCTGTGTGCAATACGCGGAAGCGACTCATGAAAAGTAATCAGCATAAATTAAACCAAAATTTAAGGTACAAATACATGTGGGATCGGAAACACAGGCAGGCCAATCCAGTAACTTGTCGCCTTTTAATAGAACTTCACAAACCGATGCATTTTCGATAACCTAAATGTCTCTAAAATATGCGAAAGTTAAGAAAAGTGAAACAGACTGAGTCAAGTGTTAATTTTTTTCCGATTTTGACATTTCTTTATAATTTGTTATTCAATATGGATCGAAATGCACACCAAGATCCCAAAATTCTAACCACCAAGCTACCAAAGCTTACTTCATTGCTAAAATTAAGGGAAAAAACTAGAAACCTACAAGATATAATAGGCGACAGTCAATCCGGACCAAACCAAAGCTAGTAAAACAACTGAGGAATGCGGATGAATTAGGCTGATGAGACAAGACATTACGGCTTTACCTGTATAAACTCCGGGATCTCACCCCCGCACTGCTTCCGCAAGACAGCTTCAAGTGGCCTGGTGGCTTCTTCGTGCAACGCAGATATCTCTTCGACGCTCTCCTGCACTGAAAGAGGATCGTCTTCGCCGAGTTTATACTGCGAATCAGATGACATGTTGTTATTAGCCTGTCTGAAATTCTCCTCATCTGAAGAAGTATCTGCTTTTGGTGAGTCATCTGCGTCTGGGTTTGCAATAAGCTTCAATTCAGACTTCGCCTAAATAAAAATTTAAATTCCATAAGATCAAAATCAACTTAAATCGGGTTTTTCTAACCCGTGTTACTGTTGTCACGCTAGAGAAAGTTTCGGATAAAACGCACAAAAGGCTCTAAACAACGTCGACAGCATTGAAAAACGTTGTAAGACACGTTATAAAAGCACCAACCTTTGATTGCGTAAGCGTTACGTCAAAGTCAACAAATGCGTTCTTCAAGATCCCAGATGGGTTAATGGCTACGTTTTCTGCCGAGTACTCAGGCCGAGAGCGGATAAATTCTGGTAAATGCAAGGAACAATATTTTGCAACTTCGGAACCCCCATGTCCATCATAGACGGCAAAAAATGATGCCGTCCGTTTGGGGTCAAAGTCTAGTATACAATTGTGGGCGTCCTACAGGAGAAACATAAAGTTAGAAGGGAAGACCAAGTCGAATATGATTAAATTATACATTCTCGAACTGAACGTCAGACAAAAAAAACAACGAAAAGAAATGCATAAGGTCGAAAGGCGACTAACACAGAAAAGATCTAGGATTTTCGACACTATAAATTGTGGGAAAATTTATTTGAGGAAACACCATTTTGAAACTAAATCTTTAAAGACATCCTTATATTTCTAACATACTTCCTGGAAACGTCTCCAGCCTTGCATCGAGGAACACCCGTATGAAATCCATTCATTAGAGCAAGACGAGGACTCCTTATCGGTTTTTGGCCTAGACAGATAGGCACCCATGTTTACTAAATGGTTGAATCAGGCTCTTGGCGGACGTATATAAACAATAATATTTTATCTGAAATTTATGTTTAAAACCAACATTTATGGCCGAAAAAAATGTTGCAATTTTATTACCAAGCGTTAATAGAATAAAAAAGGCTGTTGATTTGGAGTGGAAGTTGCTCAAATCAACGAAAAAACTGGGTCTGTCTGGTAAAAGACAGACAAATTGTTTTCGACACACAAACTGTAAAGAATTTATTTAGCCTACTCTTTGTCCTAGATTTTTATTTGCATGCAGCTTAAAAGTAGAACGAACGAAGTAATCCCAATTTTAAGAGAACATTCTACGAAACTACTGCGAAAATAGTGAAGGAGCTGTGCTTGAAGTCTTATTTCTATTATATTTAATAACTAACTGCTACCTAGCCACTGAATCATTTCTTGTTTTGGAATTTGATAATTTTGGTATATTCGCTAAGCTTCAACTGATTGTTGTATGCTAGAAAAATGGTAGCCAATACCAATTAATTTTTTCATTAAAACCTTTAAAGTAACTTTGATTTTCGTGAAGTTTTTAATTTGTTTGTAAATTAATATTTTGTGGTGATTTACTCGAGCTGCCTCTGATGTGTTATGACTGCACTGACCTCGAAGTGTCGTTGAACGCATGAACATGTATTTTACTCATAACTTATTTAATAAACCTCTGTTAGGGACATTGTAACTAGAAAATGAATGCTATCATTGAAGATGCTAACTCTCAACAACTGTTCCCCTTGAGTTTCTTTTACAGGTTAATCTGCAGCAGCATGAATTTCCTGCTATTCGGACCAAACATTTCTCATTAGGCTGCTGTGGGTTTTCTTGTCTTTCTTACACAGATTTAATGTTAATGCGATCAAGTTACGGTAGACAACTTCTGTCGTCTCGGCGCAGTTTCTTTGTTTTATTAGAAGTCTGAAATGTTTATTAATGTCATCTTTTCGGGCAGAGATTCAGTTACCACACAAGACATTTCCAGACTTTTGGAAAGTTGCGGAGGCATTGAAAGTTGGTAACATTGAGGGCGTTTTTAACAATGTCGTAATTTTTTGGAGCAGGTGGCTTGAAACTTCTTAAAGCCAATATACATATGCAAAGAATGAAATTGGTTGTGAATTTATGAACGAAGAGATGTGATCATCAAGCTTAAATTAGCCTTCAAAATGCAGAGGTACCCATATTGGTGAAACCGCTGCTAGCGGTGTCCAGTGAAGGAATGATTCGGCTATCTACTTTGAACTTATCAAACAGCCTGTTTCAGTTTTTTTTTCTTGGCTCTTTTCCACTGAATGCCACCGAGCGTGACTGATAAATCTCGGACCAAACGCGGTAGTTGATACCGATGGTACAAATGATGGCCTAATAAGTGGCAATCAATTAGCTGATTGCGGGCTCGTGTAGATACGCAACCCATTGGAAATAGATAATGCCGTGATTTCATCAAACCCAAATCGATTAATCCAATTTTCACCTATGAAATTTAACTTGACGTCGAAGTATACTTAACCCATTTAAAGGTGTGCTATCGGAGGAAGTGTAGTTTTACGTTTTGCAACATATTGTCATTGGAGCGATAAAGTTGACCGGAGACCGGCTGAGTGAGTGCCAATAGTGTATTTTTGAGGCCACTGTGCATTGGCCTAAAATTTAACCAATAGGGTGAGTGAGGTGACGTGTAGACGGACTAGTTTGTGATATGCCCTGTCCTGGTTTACCGTGACCAATATCAGCTCACGACCTTGCTTGTTCAATCACAACGTGATTAAGTAACGTTTTGTTATTTGTTTTAAACTGTAGAGATAACAATGGTTAAAATTATTTTTTTATTACTGTGCTGCTTTTTTATCCTGATTCAAATTGCTACTGTCAGATTTCATAGTCAGCATCCAGGCATAGTTACTTAGCAACCAATGTTAACTAAGCAGGCATTTTTTTCAATGTTGCATATTCAGGTAGTGTGACTTTGATATTGCCTTTACAAGCATGAATGCAACTCCAGAGGGTACCATGGCTGTGTCGAATCAAATTGTGGTTTATGTATTTTGCAACGTGATGTAGAATCCTAGAGTCCAGGTATGAGGAAGATTGGTGCAACAGAGCAGGTTTTTTTACCAATTATTAGCCAGAATCATGCGTTAGGCGCCGTCCACCCAAGTCCACCATGGTGGCTGTGTTGCCCATTATTTACCGCTCCTCATACTTGTCTGTCTCTGATTGGCTGCATTTCTTCCTCGTAAACTATTCAAACACGAAGAGACAGAGGACTGGCTGATACTGGCGTGGTCCAAAATGTCTACGCTCTTGCACGTTGCTAAAATGAGCGCCATAACTCACTCTTATTGGCGCAGCACATTTAATATTTCAAGCCAAATATGATCAGCTCGAGTATAACCAGAAATCGTTTCTTCTAATCAAATAAGAGCAGTCAAACTTTTCCCAGTGACTCATGCACCCTGTCGTTAGAGCTTGTGACCACAGCCGTAGACGTTTAGATTCTAGGGCCTCATAGCCTCTACTTCCTCTTCCTGTGGTTGTGAGGCTTGCAATTTACAAAATTGATATTGGACAAGAATGTTGGGACTCAGGTTACCCAGGACAACAGTTGTCATGATTTTTAGTTTAGCATGTTTCACCATCAGGTGCGGTTTATGCGCACTAAATTCACATTCATTTTTCCATTCTTCTTCCTATTGGTTAATTTGCCTTTGCGTGTACTACATCTCCTAACCGCATTCAAGGCCGCCAAAGCAATACATAAACGGGCTCGTGTGAATGCTGAATCGGCCTTAAACTGGGACAGAAAAAGCTCTCTTGCATTACCCTGGAAAGGAACTCTCCCATGCATTGTAATTTGAGTGCTAGTGGGGGAAATCCGATGGAGTGCTTACGCGGGACCACGAATCATTGATTTAATGACTGTCGCCAACGCTTCTTTAACCATTTGTGTACTCAGGGTTTGTCAACTGTGCCGCCAATTTTCGACTGGCCACCAGCATTGCGGCGTTTTAACTGGCGGTTTTTAATTTACTGGTTGCGAATTTGAGTTGATCTGACGAAATAGAAGGTAAAGAATAGTGACGTGGGTCTAAAACGGTCGCTAGGTGACACACTAAACGGCAAGCGCAGCCATGTGCTCCTGAACGATGTTCATCACTGTGCCAGTGTAATTAATCAATATTTAGCGCACACTTCAAGAACCTTTAATGGAACACGATTGTACCGTCATTTAATTGCTTGGTAAAGTACACTTTTCAATTGTGGGGCTGCAACTAAGTGCAGCAAGCTGCCTCAGCAGTGCATGCCCATGTGCTGAGGTGAATATCAGAAATTGCCTAGTGACGGTTGGGAGAATTTAACGATCTCACTTCGACAAAGCTCTTGTGCTTGCTGACATCGAAACTAATCTCATTCAAATGACTGAAAATTGACGAAAATGTATCCAAACCGTAGGATGCAGAGGGTAGCGATATTCAAAAGAAGTGACCACAACCAAAGTGAGTCGAATTTCATTTTAAACCAATGTTCAGTTTTTGGCAAGAAAGGAGATAGTTTTACCAGGGTACATGCAGAATGAAGGAGACTAGAACCACTCGTTTCTTTGACGGCTCAACCAATGTGTACGAGAGTATTGATTACGTCCAATGGAGAACGCCTCATGGCAGTTTTTAACCAATTGGAACCAAGTAAGGATACGTGGGTTCATTGGACGAAGCAGCTTATGTACACATGGACTCATGATCATACAAAGTTAACGTGTGCTAATTGTAATATGCTGATTAATCGATAACCATATGATGTACACACAGCACTCTGATCTCATGTCGAATTTGGTAAAATACACTATAGTTGATTTAAACTGCTCGCGTTATTTTGGTCGCTAATCCTGCCGTATGTTTGAAATCAGCAGCTTGTTTGAGATCTCTACCCCTAGCTGGTTAAGCTAACATAGAGACAGGCTGGAAACCATTCGGTGCCAAGATCTGCGGGTCGCTATTAGCCTCTTATAATGCTAGCCTTCTCAACCAATCACTTAGCAGCAGTCACGTGATTTACCCTAGACACATGCAGTTGGATTGCAGTGAATTGTGTTTATTCACACCCCTTAAGCCGGTGGCTCCACCTCCGGCAAAGGGCTCCCCTTTTCGCAGCATGTCGCCAGCCGCGCAGATCCTCAACTCCCCCTTCATTCACACGGATATTTATCTTGGATTGTCCCAACGCTTAGGTCCCGATGTTAGCGCATGTATGACTGACACATCCGAGGTGTAAATACACGCGGGCAAGCCCCACGCACGACACAACGACACCAACGAGGTTGAGCTCTGAAGTAAACGGTTGTGTCCACGTCCTCTCCGATCTTTTTCTTCACCGCGGGTACCAGGAAAACGTAATCGGGCCAGGGTTAATTTTGTAAACTTGGAGGATCCTAGTTGTGGCCTTGAACTACACAGACGCCCAGGAAGCCTATGCAGACTGGAGATGGCGAAGACTCAGCCGTCAACCAGGTTATGAATGCCGCGTCACTACATGTTAGATGTCGTGTTTGATTAATGACCAATACAGTTTGAGTAAAATTGTTGATGTAAAAATTACCAGACGGTCAGACGAATGGAATAAGTGGCGGGGGTGTGTGTGATCAGATTTGCCCACCTGATTGAAATGGACGCTTTGAAAAGGGCTGTGAATAGCTGGACTGTCTACTAACACAGTTGATGAATATGAACATGTCTGAAGAAAGGATTCGAGTAAATCCCGAATCGTGCGTACTTGGTAAAGTCTATGAAATGACCTACGCAGGACACGAATTTGCAAAATTCGCCGGACTGAACTACACATTCATTGCGTATCTTGTCGATTCGTTAAATGACGTCAGCAAAATAAATGAGTGCAAAGTTTCATGTCACAAACTCTAGTTCTACCAGCATTTGGGGGGAGGGTGAAACCACAATTGCGATCTACGATGAGTTGGACAAAATACGGAGAAGCAAGGGCCACAAAGAGTGCCTCAAGGATATATGACACCGAGAGGGTTATTGGGGCCTGGTCATGCTACGCAGACTGCAAACGACGCATGGAAGCCAATCGCTGACCACTTAACGCTAATGCGAAACACTGACATAAATGGATGATTCGGCACAGAATCAGTAAGGTGCTAAGGAGACGCTGGTTTGGTCTTATCCAGATGCTCCCGTTGTGGTGAAGCTTACTGATTCACGTCCCTGAATCTGGTTGTCGCACCCTCTGCCTCCTTGTTAGGGCGTCGCCATCGGTCATAAACACCCCTGTGCGTGTACGTCCCTCCTCCCCCACGTTAGCCGTTTCATTCACCTGGCCATTCAACCTTTTGCACTTTTACGAATCAACAACCCTACCTAGTTAGACACGATTTTTTCATGACTTGAATTAGTTTGACTTTTTGACAACTCACTCCCCACTTGGCTGACGTGATTTCAAGCTCTCTACACGAGCTCTGGTCTTGTTCTTGTACTAGCGTGGGAAGGTCGTTGCCTAGCGTCAACAATGGATCTGGTGCAGTTACTTGAGTGATCTTCTCTTTCGTTACGGGCAAACGCAACAGGCAAGTGAATTCCGCGAGCACAGTGTCGACCGTTTACTTGTCCCAAACTGACAAAACCCTTCACCTTCACCACAACCTGGATTTTGCATTCAAATGTCGTCAAAGAGCACCTGAGGGAATGCACGCGTGTTCTAAAGGCAGCTGAGCACAAGTGCTTCACAAGATCCAAAACCAGCCGGCTCCTACATCGGCAACACACCAAATTTCCACCGTCTGCCGACTTACGTCGACGGGGCCAGCCTGGAGGGGTTTTTCGACAGAAAATGGACTCCAAGCCACTCAGAATTTGGACAAGCAAATACATTTCAAACAACGAAGGACTTGCACTACTTGGAGCCAATGGGCGCATGCGCGGATACCGCATGGGTTACTGAAGAGGCAAAAGCAAACTATTGCAGGTGAAATAATTGCGACGCGCAGGGAGTCATTAGGGCATCGCGATACCACTGGCAACGCAAACCAATGTTCTTGTGTGCAAATTGTACGCAGCGAAAGAAGTGAAATGACTGCGCAGAGACCTGGCCACGGGCTTCATCCTCAACGGAAACTGTAACTAACCGACACCCAATCGATAAAAAGCGACGTGATTGCCAAGAGCAACGGCCTTAGCAACATGTCAGCGTCAGACCACAATAGTTCTCTGATGTCCTTGATCTCGTTTACCTGTAATTATAAACAGACGCCGACTGTGGCAAAACAGCTCGGAGCACGTTCGACGCAATAATGGCGTGGGATGCGATGGTGCCTCCCGGAGCACTGCTTCAGTTGACAAATTTTGCGTCCCTCAGCAAATCAAAATAGCGGGCAGACAGGAACAAGATGGGGTAGGTCGTTAGGGTGGCATGACCCTATGGGAGTACGCAAGTGAGGTAATTAGGGAAAACTTCCGTATTCCCAACCAATGGAGGGGGTAGAGGCCGTGAAGTCGTCCAAGTAGTGGAAAAAAAGCACACAAGGAAAGACAGACCCTGTTTTATTCCTTTCCTACAAAATCTTTGAAAGAAATCAGACTTGCAGGCCAGAGACATGGAAAATAGCATACACCTACTACACCACAGCAATTATTCACACTGGAACAAATAACTCTTGAAAACGGTGAAAATAAAGAATAGTGATAATAATAGTAGTAGTTAGAAAAAGACAATGGGAACTAGGAAAGTAATAATCAAGGTTATCCACAAGACAAAGAAAGCAAGACGCCGATACTACTCCATCGGGAAGATGGGTTTGTTCACGTAATCCTCGCCGTAGGCGTAGATTGTGATGGCAGAGGTCACCGACGCTACACCCCAAAACAAGAAGTACGCCACTCGCTCGGTCCACAGATCTAAAAAAAGTTAGCGAAAAGATCATACCGACATAAGTCAGCATCACGCCGGCTCGCATTGATTGGCTGTTGTCCCACGGTGCCATTGGTCGTGACTCTCCCGACAGCCAATGGAATCGCACGCCCCAACTCGTATTGGCTGGCAATTGATTCTCACAACAGCCAATGGCATCACAACCCAGAGACCTGATTGGACACAAGATATCCATCCCGACTCGCATTGGTTGGCAGTTGACCCGCATTACAAATTACAAAATTTCATGAAAAAAAAAACTAACAAAGTGCTCACCAGCGGGGAAGATGAGACAGAGGACAGACATGGACGTGGCGAAGGCTAGAAAGAGCGGCATGAAACGGATTCGCAGGCTCTCTACATCACTCGGCTCGCGTCCTCGCGGTAGCGGCAACTTCGGCTGGCCGTTGTCCGGACGGAATATGTCGTAGTGGCCAAGGAAGAGGTTAAAGGCGTCCTGGCGGAAACCGTCCACAAAGTTGTTGAGGTAGTAACGCGTGAGCGAGTAATAACCGTCCAGAAGCATGCCTTTGAATGTTCGTTTGCCTAAAAGTGCGATCAAAATATGGATTTACGGGTGGAAGAATGCTTTCCTTGGGAGAATGGATCGTGTAATGGTTGAAACTAGGCGATCTGAGGCAGTTAACCATGCAATTTCGGACGAACGAAGCCCAAGTATTGGTTGCCCGGTAGGCGCACCAGAATGCCTACCTGTTCGCGTAAAATCCGTCTTCAGAGCGGCTGTGCCGCTGTACTGGATGGAACAGGCGTCCGCGTTATCTGCCCACACCTCCTTGAAGGCGGTTTCGAATCCGGGCCAAACGGCTCGCATGTAGTTGCCACAAACCACGCGGTCGGCGGAGTTCACGAGGCCGGCGTCTCGGATGGCCAAGTCCACCGCCCGCCGGCCGATAAGCGATTGGACAACATTGGTGCGGTCCAGACAGTCGATGCAGTTCGTCCGGAAAACTCCGGTCTGTCGACTGACAACCACAGCGTCCCTAAGCGTTTCTTTCCCGATTGGCGAAAGCAGTCTGAACTGACTGTAGGGGGAGGGGAAACGGAAATCAAGCACGCCGTTTAATTTAGATCCCATTAAAACCACTAAAAAATTGAATCAGCTCACCCCATGGCAACGATGTCACCTTCGAGTCGATCCAGAAGGATACTTAGGCGGTGCCACTTGAGGGCCTTGCATTCGCGGTGGAAGTCAAAGGACTCATATCTACAAGCACAGAAAACATTCCACCCAGTTGAGCAGGTTGCCTGCCGAGTGAACAGTCATCACGCACATTTCAGTTTGGCACACGCGTAACCACGTACTGTTGGATAAACCAGTTTTTGGAAAAAATTTGTACGGTTATCGCATCTGGAACAAGTACACATTGCTAACACTAGACCAGATGGGTTGAATACGGTGGCATTAATTCACAGGCGACTTTATGCGACTAAGTGATCACGTTTTTAAAGCTGTCGTGCAAGCAGTAAAAAGGTAAACAGACTTACTTGAGTTCTTGCGGATCAACAGATTGAGCGGCTAGCGTATACGTCTTGCAAAGTTGCCTTTCCATGCCAGTTTGATCCAAGAGGTTGACAGCAAAAATCTTTCCATAGCGGTGAAGGTAGCAGGCCTCGTGAATGTGGCGCTGGATTATAGCCCGCTGCTCCGGCTCTACGTCAAGTGGTGACTCGGGTGGATTGTCAATAGTTGATTGAGCAGCAGCAGCCAGACGGCCCATCTTAACAAGCGGTTTGTACTTAAGTGTTGGGCGCTGACTCCAAAACAGAGGCACGCTGCCGCGAACCTGCACAAAAGAGGAAATGTGGCTTGGCGGAAGGTAGAGAATTTGCTCCGTTTCCACAAAGTTGGCCGAATTCGCTTCAGAGTCGAGGCCACGAGCGTAGAACCGGGTGCCAGCGCGCTTAACCGAACGCCGAGAAATAATGGCATAACTTGCGACAGTCCCTTCAGATCCAAGAGATGAAGAGGCCTTGAGGATACCCACAAAGCCGAACATGACAGGCGTGAGGTAGTTGGAGATGTTAAGAGAGAGGCCACTTGTTTTGGCGACATCCGTGAGAATACTTGACCAGTCGTTTAGATGACTGTAATTCCATAGAAACTGTTTTTCAGCCTAAAAATGGGGAAGCATGTCAATTGCAAGAATTAAAACAAACAGAAGCGATTTTACAGAGAGCACGATAACTTGAGTTTCCTAAACATGGCAAAGTTGATCTGGGTAAACGACATCAAAACCGTCAACAGAAGAGCAAATACACATACTAGCTAAGAAATCGCATTGAGAAAGGTAAAACTAGAAGAGGAATTTCATTAGATTTCTCAAATATTTTATAAGTACAGACAATCACAAGCAAAATTTATTACAAATGAAATAAAATGTCTGGTGAGAGATATCAATAAGAATCTTTACTTACGCGCTCAAAGAGACTCGTGTTTCTGGTTTCCGGGCCAAATTCTGAAATTCGCTGCTGGGACACAGTCAAATCATAGGTGTTGGAGAAATAAAAACCGTCTACTTGAAGCACAAACGTGAGCATATTGATATATGCCGTCTCAGCCTCTAACTAAGTTTATAAAAACACCACGAAGGGACTGTACCTCCATTTTATTAAGATGTGCTGTTGATTTGGCAAATGGGCGCAGCGATGAGGCTGTTACTTTGAAAATCTGGTGACCAAACAAATTTCCCACAAGTTCACATTTATCGATCGTCATTAAAAAACGACCAGAGAGGAGACGAACTGTCCCAAGAATGCCGTAAATGATTGCGGGCCTTGGCATAACGCTTTCATAATGTTCTAAATCAAAACCTACTTCATAGAATAAACTTTGAAGTTTACTTGATACAGAGACAGTGTTCGTTACGCGGTCAATAACAAGTGGGCGGCCTTTTTTTGTTGAACTGGAATCGTAAAGGACATATTGATCTGGGCCAATGAAGCTAAGAGATAAGAAACAACCAAGTGACCATACAGCTCGTAGGACCGAGGAGAATCCATATTCACTCGAAGAAACCAGAAAATTCAGAAGGGAGCATAGATATACTAACCATATAAACAAAACCCGTTTGGTAGTTACTTTCCTGAACTAATTGAAAACTTGTGGTAATTAAAATTTTTTTCTTACGTAAAATGTGCATGTGACATTTATTAGCTTGCGTTATAAATAAATATCATTGTGATGCACGCTGGAAATTGAATGAAAGCCGATGAATAAACGGAATGGGCTGCTCACTAAATCAAATAATTGCTAATTTAACTTAAAGTTTGCTTACAGATAAATATTTGCATACTAATTAAGGTCACTTTAGCGGAGCCTGTTTTAAGGATGGAGGCGTATTATACCTTTTACATTACTAAATGATTTTGTGGCATTGATTCAGTGGTAATGTTGAATTGCGAATGAGTTTATGTAGGGACGACAACTTTTCCTTTAATCTGGGGATAGGGGCCATTTTTGTTCAAAACAATGTAGCATAGTCGACAGAGTTTGACTGACATTTTTTTTATAGTATCACTGCAATGGAGCATTCATGCGATGGGCAACATTGTCTTGAAAGGTCTTTCACAATAATGCATCTATTCGTAGGAGTTAGCTTAAGTTTCCATATTGTTAACTATAGAATGGCTGTTAGTCGCAATGTGCATGAATGCAAGAGGAAATCAGCACATCTAAATGAAGACAGTTCTTCACAGTTATAACATCAAAATTATCAGATAATTAGTATTGCTGTCGTATATGTGGGAAGGACTCATTTGACAATCACTGCTCATCTTAAGATAAAAAAGCCTGAAAGCGAGATTTGGTTTAGACATTTGTCGATTTGCATTAAATTAAAAAAAAACTTCCATTGTCAGACATATTTTTAGAAAAAATCGATTGTAAGAAATGCGGCATTCAATATCCAGGTCACTGACTAGCATCCGTTTTTTCAAGCAAATTACTCAAAATGTCATTTAGTGTATTTCGACCTTCCTAATTATATTTGGTGCTGTTTTTTTAGGCCGAGTCATTTACTAAGGTTGAAGTGAAGTTTGTCCAAAGTAACTGAAGACGTAAGCATGTCCGTTAAGGCTCCAAAGCCTTTAGAACTTAAAATTAGTTTAAAAGTGCCATGTTGCAGCAAAAGTGTGCTAAACCAGCCGCAAATTTGAATTAAGTCCCTTTCACCGCTTCGCAAAAATACTTTGGTTTGCATTTCGAAGCTGATCTGATGTTTAATTCGCCTGTCCTATCTTAGCTAATCAAGCAGCATCTGATTTTTGCTTTTAAGGCGTAGTAAGCATAATAAGCTTACACCAGATAGGAACGCTTTATTTTACTTTTTTATAAATCACAAATGTTTTTTTAAAACTGCAATTGACAGCTAATGGAGTCATTTTTGGTGATTTTTCGCTCGATCTAACTCTATCGGTTTTGTGGCCTTAAGCCAGCCATACATATCATAACGTTTAATATGAATGATTTGGTGCCCACAATTCAAAGAAAAATTTTAGTATTCGTGAATACCGGGCTAAAATTTATTGAAATGAACTCTATCTGACGGATGCCAGCATCAATAGACAGTGACCGATGCAAATCTTTATTATTTCAGTTCGATTTGTTAAAAAGGTAGATGCCGAGGTGGGCGAGATAGGATCAAAGTGAAGAACTTCGGTAATTTAAATCAATTTGTGGCTCTTAGAAGGTATTCAATAATAATACATGCATTCCAAGTCAGAATGAAGTCAATAATGTGCAGGGGATTGCATTTCACCTACATCACCAAGCACTATGCCACTGGGACTTGTAGTCAATACACATCAACACTCAAAGTAAGTAGGGACAAATAGATTCATTCAAGTCTGTTCAAATTTCTCACATTTTATATTTTTTAAAGGGTGCTAATTTGATGAAAATTTTGAGCATTATTAGCATTGTATTTAAAACGACAAATACACATTAATGACATGCAAACTCCAGAAAATAATTTTGAAATTCGTCTTTTTCTTCTGAAAGCGCACAGAAGTAAATAAATTGTCTGTAAGCAAATGTGCAGTAAAATTATGCTAATATTTACAAAAACATTTCTCTTAAATAGCGAATATTTAGGCATAAGACTTTTGTAATTCATGGAAGCTACAATGATCATTTTACATACTGTATCACACCGAGCAAATTCCTGTGGCCTATTAAATTTGCATAACGATTTTTTTAACAATGTCCACAGCATTCAAAAACATTTAAGTCCTAAGATACACTCTGCTGGACTTTTGATGCACACTTCACTTCAACGGCATCTCGTATTCTGCCATAAATCAAATAAATTGGTCTAATTTGTATGTCACACTCAGCGTTAGCAGACATTGATAGAGCCTCATAACGTTGTTAATTGTAAGTTATCCAAAAAAGTTTCTATTAGGCGTTGCAAGCTCTCAATCCATTATAAATCAAATTAGGCTGACGACATTATTGCTAATCAGACTACGATACATGAAGTGGGCTCCGGAAAGCCAAGTACTTTGGAACCGAAAAAGAGACAGTAAGTGTGATGAATTAGTAACTAAGAGTTCAAAATAAACACAAACTACTTAAGGTGTAGCAAATTGCTCACTATATGCAATTTAAAGTTGCTATGTGTTGATTTTCAATTTTCAATTTACAGATGTCTCCACAGGTTTCAAAAGCCGGAATACCTATTAATCCCAGAAATCACTTATAATTGACGTGCATTGATTTCATTCTTTCTCAACAACCATGCTTTTATTTTGTACATTGACTTCAAAATGTAACAGGTTTTTAAGATTAAAAAGTGTTTTTTCCCTGTAACTTGATATCAAGATTGAACATGGACATGAAATATGCCAACCTAGACGAGCCAACCCAGGTTTCTCGCTGCGGCAGGAAAAAAATATTTATTTGAAACTAGTGATGCCTGATTAAAGGTATTGTATGGGTCATGGTTTGGCATTTAATTTGTCATCTCATAGGTTTCAAATCAAAAGCATAAACTTTGATTAGAGGCAACCAAGTAACATTATCCAAGGCTAAAAATGCACAGATTAGCAAGACACGCATGGTAGGTCACTGACTTTTGATGTTTTAAAACTCAAAAATTTGAAAACAAATAATTGAAATCTACATGGATCCAAATGTATTACTAATGCCTATACGTAATGGAGTACGAAAAAGCCAAGCGTTTTATGTTGTTGATATAATATAAACCAATCTACGTTCCATTTTTTTGTTTATTAATTAGTCTGAAAGTAAGCATTTATCTTAACATAAACTATTATTTGTATCTGTGATCTTGGATTAAAAAACCTTATGTTGATTCAGCCATTCACATGTTTGAAGACTTTAGAGGCTAAAGTTTGGAGTTCTTAACTCCAATTTATTTTAAAGCTTGAAAATTGTTATGAATTTGCAGTAAACAAATAAACATATTGCAAATCAGAGCCTCAAAGATTTTATATGTCATCTTGAAGCAATGGATTGAATTTTTATTGATGTACTTAAACGTTAGTGGGACTTTCGATTTTTGCAATGTCGTATTGGCCGGGAAGGTTACTTCTGCGCAGAGGTGGTTTGTCCCTCATTCGTGGCTTAAAACCTGAAAAATGGGTGCAACCCCATTGTATTCAGCGACCTGTGCTTGCGATGTTTGCTACAGATCCGTCTGCAGCTCCAAAGAAAACGGAAACGCCACGGGACAAAAATCTCGAAATTACCGAGAAGGCTATTAAGGATGCAGAGGAATTAGCCAACGAATATCATAAGGTTTTATTTTTTTTTGTAGTAATTCTTGCAGCATGTAGCCGATACCATTGTTCGTTGGGACAAATGCAATGAAGTGTACTATGGGAAGGAAAGGGATATGGTTAATTTTCCCACCGTCAAAATCACTCAACAGCACCCAAAAGTTCGCCTTGGTTTCATCCCAGATTCTTGGTTTCAAGCGTTATATTCTCGCACCGGTGTTACTGGTAAGATAATTGCTATTTTAATTTGCATTAGGTCCCTACCTTTTCTTGTTCGGCACAACGTCCTTTCTTCTGAGCAAGGAATACTGGGTGGTTGACGCCCACTTCATGGAAATAATCCCCTTCGTCGTAATTATGACATGGGCAATCAAAACGTTTGGAACTCGTGTCGGTGACTTTCTAAGCAAGGAAACGCAGGTAACGTATACATTCCATTGAAAATAAGTGCTCTAAGTGTTGTAAAATGTAGTACTTTTTTTAAATTTACAACCATAGGAGCGAATCGATAATTTCTACACTAAGCCTATGAAAAACGTTGTGGCAAATCTTGATAAAACAATCAAGTCTGCGGATGAAGAGATTGCCAGAGCGGAGTGCGTGCCTGCCATTTTTGCCGCCAAGAAGGAGATTATTGATCTCCAGTTGGAGGCTGCTTACCGCGAGCGCCTGCAAAACGTCTACAAGGCTGTGACGCGTCGTCTGGTTAGTACATATTCTCAGAAAAATCGTCTTGCGTGATCATTTTGTTACAAATGTGTTAAGTTACCTTCCCAGCACCAGCAACTGTTGCTGTTCTTTAATGAGAGAGAAGGTCGAATTATTATAGACAAACACCGTGTACTTCAAATTGCCTACTGGTAAAAGAAACTGATGTTTGTAAACGTCCACACATTCTTCTGACGTATATCCTAGTACAATTTCGTCAGTTACTGGACATTTAGATTCACTCCGTCATGGCTAGTATTTTTATGGCTTATCGGGGATAGTCTTGCGTGATTGATAGGGAATACTTTATGTCACTCAACTGGTATGAATCACGAAGGACGTCTTATTTTGACGTTAGAGATTCAGGCCGGCTTTACTATCTCACCGGTAACCTGTGAACCCACTTACAGGCTTGAATAAAACGCTCCAATCTGCAATTTGTTTCTGCCACTCTAGGATTACCACGTGGAGCGCGAGAACGTGCGTCGTCGGTTCCAGCAGCAGTACATGGCGGACTGGATCACGTCGGCAGTGGTCTCCGGCATCACGCCCGCCCTAGAAAAGGACACGCTGCGCAAGTGCATCGAAGACCTCAAAGTTCTGGCCTCGGCGAAACGCGCCGCCACCGCGTAGTTGCTCCTCCCAGTGCCACTGTGTTTAGTGACTTTCTCAACTTGTCATTTCCCTCTGCCTGGTGTCTATAGTGAGGTGACATTTTATAAAACGTAGATCTTTTTGGCTTCAGCTGTGAAATCTTGCCTCGTGGTTGTATCTGTGGCTGCCCAGGAGCGTCTTAGACATTGTGGATCATTTTTTGCACTTACCCTGCTTTCGCTCGGCCTTCTACGTACACACAACCAATCCCGGTTTTGTGGTCGTAGCCACCCTTTGATTCATCTGACTTGGTTTTTAGCCTTCGAAAACGTTTGCGAATTGATGTTTGCGCTTTTTCTTTGATTTTGGCGTAACGGGCAGCTCAGCTTGTAGGTTGTCCAAACACGGTTTATTGTTGGTAGTTACCTAGGCAACTCGGTTAATGGCTGCTTAGGGTGTTGTGGATCTTCGCACTTTTCTATAATCGTTTTTCCCCCGCATAAATCTATGGAAGCGTGGCGGTTCCAATGACATGAGTCATCAAAACTGACGGTCCACTTACACTTTCTGTGTGGAACCTCGTGATTCTATGTAACCGTTCAGCATTTATTCAATTTACCTGCACTAGTTTCTGTGTTAATCGAGTTATGTAGTGAGTCTCGTTTGTGCATTTCCCCTGATTTCGTATTTTCAAATGAGCTATGGTTTATGGGATTCTAAGCACCACTATATTTGCTCGCTAAAACGAATTATTTTACGTCCACAATGACAAGAAGCCTGTGTTTAAATAAGGCTATTTCGGCGACCGATTTGCTTGCCTTTTACTCGACTACAGACTCCCTGGCAATTTCGTTTTCGAGGGTACGTCTCCGGCCGTCATGAATAGACTTCGGCAATGCGGTCTACGGGGGATCATCACGGGAATGAGGTGTTCTTACTCGACATCGTGGTTATTTCATCAGAAATCATCATTCCTGCATCACAATCAGGCACAGTTTTTGGTTTACATGATCCAGTAATCATTTCCCATCCTCCAACTCTGTGTGTTAGACTGACTGGTGATCGTTATTACCTGTTGGTAGTACAATGGGATTTGGAATAGGGCGTGACTCTTATTTCCACTTATTCATCCTTAATTGCGAACGTGGCCGATAAGTTAGATAATCAATAAGTGATCACAACAAATTTGGGAATAACTTGTTGGGACTGTTGGATTGGTGGGTCGTTGCGGGAAACGGAAATTACGTTTCTCCTGTACCTCACCGGCGTCTACCGATTGGATCTAGACTGGCTACTAATTGCATTTAAGTAGAAGTAGCGTGCCAGATGTAGCAAACATGTTGCTCCGTTCAAGTCGTAAGTGCAGGCAACAACCATGACCCCGGAACTTGCTGTGCTAAACTAGGCACTTTTAATAGGATGCTAAGGGCAGCCTGGTCAGGGCGAACCCAGCTAACCAGCTTCGATGAGTCAGCATGCATCAAATAGAATATGCTACTTGGAAATACCAGTAGTCTGGACCACATTTTTGCAGATTATTGTGACAAGCTAATCATCAGCGCATCAGCAATCTGACCGCCAATCACGTGTTCGCTTGATTTATGCTATTAGGAAAGACCTGTTTGATTAAAAAGCCGCTTTGTTCTCCCATCTAGTTCTCATTTCTCTCTCGTTTGAGGAGGCTTTTAATCTAGCCGCCTCCAGCGGAAGCTTGTGATGTTCAAGGTTAAAAGTTGTTCTCCTTTTTAAATTTATTCTACTCAAACAAAAAGATGTGCCGACAGCAGCAGTACAACAGCCACGCGTGATAAAAACTGTTTTAAAAAAAGGAGATTCAAAGTTAGCCCGAGGTGAGTTGTGTAAAATTCATTAATCTATAAAGGTAGCATTGTTTGTTTTGCTCAGCAATTTGCAATTTGCCCGCCTTGATTAAAACAGCACATTTGTACATCTTGAAGAGTTTGCTCTGAGTATTTAAAATAAATTTCGTTTTTCGGTAGAAATCTCCAGCTTTGTTTTATTAATGCGGTCAGACAGAAGTCAAAAGTGCAAATACATGGGAAGAGGTCTAGGGCGAAATGAGGTAATTCAATAATATTGAAAATCAATCGATCTGAGTTTTCCAAAAATTACGACTATTCAAGCAGATTTTGAGTGGAATACTAATCAATTGACTGCCTCATTTTCAATTGGTTGTTTTACAAAAGCTCAAACGTTGATTGGACCTCTGAATTTGGGTGATTTTAATTGGTTCGAATAGTAAACAATTTACCGGAACAAGCTAAGACCATAAAAAAATTTGATAGCTTGGTTAGTAAAAGTTATGTTTAAAGATTGCTATGGCATAGGTTACCAGCCTGAAATTGCTATTCGTTATGTAGTGACAACAGTTCCGAAATCACTTTTTCATAAGTATAAATGACACACGCGCAAATGTGTCTAACTTCTGCAAACATTTATGACTTCTCAGGTCATAAAAATTTAATTTTCCCTGCTCCCTAGAGACTCCGGCTGGCAGCAGACGACAATGGACGCATTTGAGGTTTGTGGTTGCTCGAAACAAATCAACCTTCTATTTAGAAGGCTATTAATTAAACATAGAAGGGTGCCAAAAGAAGCGCAATGCACAGATGCATAGCAATTGAACAGTTTCATTCGATTCCCCTATACCCATTTTACACAAAAGGTTTATTGAATTGATAACTTAAACTGAAGTATAGACAGGAGATCGCTTACACGAAGCTATCAAGTCAGTTTGAATGGATTTGCGTGAATCCTGAAAATAGTATCGATAGGTAGGTAACCCAACGATTCGGTTTCATATTTCAGCCACGGGACAATTTACCGCGGACGGAAGCACTTCGGGTTTGCGGACACACATGTACCAGTGGAGTTTTTGCAAATACTACCTTTACTCCTAGCCAGCCACCTCTTTTTTGCAAACTCGAGGCTTCTGCATTGTGCCTGGCCGAATTCACGCTCCGTGTACTTGTCCCTTTTTTTTCTGCAATCTCCAACCTCGCATCTGGTTAGGGCGACCGAAATCGCTTTACCGGTCTTTCCTTCAGTAAAGGAGTTCCCTCCTACCTGGGCCAGAGCATTTTCAGTTTTCGTGCCAAAGCAAGCCGAAATCGGTTTTATTAGCGCTAAAATGCTGGCTTTTCCCATGACTGCGGACCGAACTTTAAGCTAAAAGAAAACAAATATTTTTTAAACTTGATATCCAGCGTTCTCGAAGGTTGTGAGGTAGGTGTGCGCGTAGACATGGGGGTCGATCATTGGTCACCGGTACTTGTGTCCGTCTACCGATGCTGGTGACGTCACTATGACCAAAATACCCTTATCTGGGATTCGTGCTTTGGATGCAAAATTGTTGTGAAATCAACAAAATCTGACAAATCTAATATCAAAAAACAATCCCGATAAAACTATTCTATTCGTTAATTATAAAGTCACTAAACGACGGCACAGTTCCCCCCTCTGTGCGTTTTGATCCAATCAAAATTTTGGAAAGATTAACCAATTTGATGTAGGTCATTATAAACTTCTAAGGAATACGAATCAATTTTTAAAATGCCAGAATCAAACCATTCAAATCATGTCCATTCGTACATTATAGTTGTCCTCGATACTAGCAGGCTCTCGTGTTAACTGATTGACTTCAAAATTACCGACAAATTAAAGCGGTCGAGTGATTGATGAAATCACAAGTCTGGTATCCCAGATCTGGCATTTGTGTTTTGGATCCGTTCACACAAGCGCCACACGGCATCTGCCTTCACACTGACAAAACGTCACCCAGCGCTAAACACTGCCACCACATCACACCAGGTTGGTGTCTCTGAACGAGCGTCTGACTTTTCACTGAGACACGATTGGTGATCAGGGGATGGAACAGTATCTCTGGAAGTTGGTGTTGATGTTGGCAGATTGCCAGAGCTTGCATCCAACACACGCCGTTCCTGCCGGTATGCTGCCAACTGACGACCTGACCCACTGCGTCACGGGGTTCTTCTGTGACGAGAAAACAGCGTGCCTTTCGACTTATTGTATCAGCTGCACGAAGACCACTTCCAGGTCGACCTCGCGTCACAGCATGACGCAAGGAAGATTAATCTCCTGCCCCACACACTTGGTCCACCGATGCTGTGGGCGAAGGTGGACGTTTGCGTAGGACAAGGGACTTGTGTTGGGTACCTTGAGCGGCCGTTTTGGCTACGGTGGAATCCTAACGACCGGTAGTCCTACAAATTACTTAGCTTAGAATCGCAGATTTTCAAGAACACGACACAAACTCACTCGATGCCAGACATCTCGTTTGCATCACGAGGGTGTCTAAATCAATAGGAAAATGGAAAAATAGTGGAAGTAGCAAAGACGAGGGCCAGCATGCCCCAAAAACATTAATCAAACATGAGTCTGTGGCCCGTGATTTGTCCCGATGACTTTTCACATGTTTCTGCTTTGACGACCACTGAGGTGAGATGTAACTTCCAGTCAACGCAAGGAAGGTTGCCAGATTTGATTAAATTACCGACGTGGGTTCATCAGTGCTCACTTATCTGCAAGGTAACTGCAACATTATCTTATCAAAAAGCCACAAAATGTACAGAGTGTCACTAGAAGAACACTTGTTTTTCCATGTCATTGAGATGCTTGCAATCTCACTGACGACAATACAAAACAACCTTGCGTTGTCGACTTACGTAAAATGAACTGTCTCCGTCGATGGCGAAATTCAGTCTGCGCAACTGTCTCGCACCTCAGATAGTTGCATGTGATTTTAAAAGTACTGAGATGATGCGTGCCGAGATGAAATTGCATGAAGGAAAGCTTCATTTCCAATGCCACTGTACCATCCTTAAACTGTGACAAAGTTTGAGTGTGTGCTGCGTTTCGCCTGTAACCATGACACACACACACACGCACACGCACACACACACACACTCGGATATCCGGTATCCTAGATTCCTTGTCAAACGCCAGATACAGGCTGAATAATCTGCTAGAATTCTAGCACTTACACAAGTCACGGATGA